AATACGTAGACCCAGGGTCAAATAGCACTGAAGCATCCCTATCACAGACCAGAATAGTACCTGTAATGACTGCATCTGAAGACTCAGCCTCTGGCCTGGCTAGAAGAGCATAACACCGGGGCTGGGCCCCACCTCCCTGCACCATCTCTCTGGGACGATCGACTGCTGGCTGGCCTCTACCTCTGGCGGTCCGAGCTCCACCTCTATGATCTCTACCTCCACCTCTATGGCCCCTACCCCCGCCTCTAGCTGGCTGGGCGGCCTGTGGATCACCTGATGCCTGAATCATAGGACGAGGACCCTGCTGCTGAGAGCTGTCAGAAACTCGAGGGCAATACCTGGCAATATGTCTCGTGTCGCCACACGTGTAACAAGCCCTCGGCTGCTGAGAATAGCGGAGTGGTGGTACGCTGATGGGTGCTGATAGGGAACTGAAAAGCTGCTTATCAGAAGACTGCGACTGAGAGCCATGACCACCTGTACCATGTGAGACCTGTAGGGCTGACTGAAAGGGCCTCGGAGGATGGCCTCTACCATAAGAGTCCCCACCTCCAGACGAGGTACCACTAAATCTACCTGCATGACGGGGCCTCTTATCTGACCCATGACCACCTGCCCGTGCAAGAGCCATCTCAACTCTACGGGTCGCATTAGCCGCCTCCTGAAAAGAAATCTCACTCACGGCTTCCATAGCCATCTGGAGACGGATCGGCTGAATCAACCCATCAATAAACCTCCGCACCCTCTCTCTCTCGGCGGGGAATATAACAATAGCATGGCGTGCTAGATCAATGAACCGAGTCTCATACTGAGTGGTTGTCATAGAGCCCTGCTGGAGGCACTCGAACTGCCTGCGAAGAGCATCTCGCTGAGTAATTGGGAGAAACTTCTCCAAAAACAACTCTGCAAACTGGTCCCAAGTCAATGATGGCGACCCTGCTGGTCTGGATAAACAATAGTCTCTCCACGAAGTCTTGGCGGATCCTGGGCAGGACGCGGAGATCTATTGATCAATATGAATCTCGAGAGTTGATGGTTGATCGCCGCCTCCTTGTCCTGGAGGCTCTCCGGCCGGGGAGGGCTAGACGAAAAGTGGCAAAGTCGACCCCATTGGTCTCCACAATACCCATAGTCCGAAGAACCTCATGGCAGCTATACAAGAAATCCTGGGGGTCCTCTGAAGAAGCACCGCTGAATGTGGTGGTAAAGAGCTTGGTGAACCTATCCAGTCTCCACAAAGCATCTGCGGACATAGCCGCCCTATCGCCGGTCTGAGTCACAATACCCGGCTGAACTACCACAGTTGGCTGAACCACTGGAACCTGTGCCTGGGGAGCTACCTGCTCCGGAGTACGTGTAGCAGAAGTCTGAACTCCTCCTCCAGCCTGAGAAGTGGCTGGTGCTACTGGAAGCAAACCCGCTCTAGTGACGCTCTCCACAAAGCCTACCAATCTGACCAGAGCGTCCTAAAGAACTGGGGTGGCTATGAACCCCTCGGGGACCTGAGCTAGGCCCACCGGAGCTGCTGGGGCTGGAACCTCCTCATCATAATCAGCATGAGGCTCCACCTCTGGGACTGCTCCTCGAGGCTGAGCTCTGCCCCTGCCTCGGCCTCTGGCACGGCCTCGGCCTCGCCCTCTGCCCCTCGTAGGAGCTGCTGCTGGGGGCTTGGGCTGCTGCGCGGTAGAAGAGGAAGCACGTGTTCTCGCCATCTGCGAAAGAACAGAGTAGAAAGACAATCAGTATTTGAGAAACAGAATCGCACGACAAGAAGGAACAAAAGTGAAATTTTCCTAACTCCGTAGCCTCTGGGGATAAATACAGATGTCTCCGTACCAATCCCTCAGATTCTACTAAGTTTGTCCGTGAGTAGCGAGACCTATGTAACCTAGGGCTCTGATACCAACTTGTCACGACCCGAATTTCCCACCTTCGGGAGTCGTGATGGCGCCTACTAATAGGAGCTAGGCAAGCCAATTAATTTAATACCTCTCTTGACAAAATCAACAGTCTAAAGAAAGACGAGACAATTAATATAAAAGCTGAAGTCTCAAAACATAAATAACTGAAACCAAGTACGGAAGCTCAAATACATCTCTACCCAGATCTGGTGTCACTAACTCACGAACTTCTACAGAATGCTAAATACAAAGTCTGAATAAAAACACAGTACTGTCTGATCCGATACAAAGGAAATCAAACGAAAAACAAGGATAAGAGAGACTCCGGGCCATGCGGACGTCAGCAAGGCTACCTCGGGAATCTCTGTACTGAAGTCAGCTCCCAATGCTCCTACTGCTGTCCAAAAGCTCCTGCTCCGGTACTGTGATCTGTGCAAAAAGATGCACAGAGTGTAGCATCAGCACAACCGACCCCATGTGCTGGTAAGTGCCTGGCCTAACCCCAGCGAAGTAGTGACGAGGCTAGACAGGACTGCCAATCAACCTGTGCAGATATATATATACAAACACTACAAAAATAACAGCGGAAAGTAATAATTAAGACTGGGAGGGGAACATGCTTTTGGGGATAACAGATAAAATAGAACGGTAGGAATAAATAAGGAAAACTACAACTAATCTCTTCTAACACAGAATACGTGGTCGGCGTGCCACACGATCCCATTTCATAATATATAAGTGGTCGGCGTGCCACACGATCCCAT